ACTTGAGGTACTTGGCACGCAGGGCGTCCGGCAGCGACGCCAGCACGAGCTTCTCCCCCACCGCTGCTCCACACGCGGGGTCCGGACAGCGCAGGCACAGGCACCCCGGCCCGTCCGCAACAGCCGCCTTGGCGTAGCCTGGAGGAGGGGAAGGGGGGAGAGGAGTAGCGTGCAGGCTCAGACAAACATCCTGACACCCCCACCTGCCTCACGAGGGGCCTGCGCAGCGCAGGCAGAGGCACCCCGGCCCGCCCGCTACTGCTGCCTTGGCGTACCCTGGGAGGGGGAGGGGAGGGATGGAGGGGAGGAGAGGAGTGGTGAGGCACAGCGTTCATCATACCCTTCCTTCTCCTCCACCGCTGCGCCACACGTGGGGTCCGGGCAGCGCAGACACAGGCACCCCAGAGAGGGGGAAATTCAGTAGAAAATAAAAAAAAAAGGGACAGCAAGGGAAGGGGTTGCGAGATGTTGATGATGATTAGTGATAGCTAGCACCACGCACCTCGCACCTGGTGAGCAGCACACAGCACTGACCTTGCCAGCACGCGTCACAGAAGAAGTGGTCGAAGCACTCTGCAGGCTTCATGGCCGCCTGCGGGTAGCTCTCAAAGCAGATGCCGCATGTCAGGTGCGGCTGACAGGGACAGGGAGGGGCCGGGAAGGAGAAAGGGGGACATGAGGAAGGGGTTGATAGTGGAACTTGACAAGCAGGTGGCCAGACGAGGCGAGGCAGAGAAGGGAGATCGACAGGGGCATGGGGATAGGGAAGAGAGCGAGAGAGCGATGAGCAGAGTGACCCACAGCACGGCGCCTGGTGAGATGGGAATGAGCCGAATGAGAACAGAAATCTATGCACCATCATCCGCCATTGACCCACCAGCCAAGCATCCGCCACGCATCCATCAACCATCCACCATCCATGCACCATCCATGCACCATTCATGCATCACCACGCGGGTTATAAACATCCGTACGGAGTGCCACAAACCCACATTGACCACAGCCGCACCACATCTGCACTACCTGACCCGCACTCGCCCTCCTCCTCCTCCGCCTCCTCCACCCATTTGCCACCTTTCCTCCCCTCCCCTCCCCTCCCCTCCCCTCAATCCCTTCCCTCCCCTCCCTCCCCTCCTTCCCCTCACTCCTTCCACCCCATCCCACCCACCACAGCACGGCAGAGCCTCACCTCGGGCTCCTTGCCGGGGCGGCGGTTGGAGGCGGAGGAGGCGGAGGGGGAGTGCACTACCTCACTCACCACATTTCCTCCTCTTGCTCACCTCGCTCCCTCACGCCTTTCCATCCCACCTCACAGCACGGCAGCGGCGCCTCACCTCGGGCTCTTTGCCGGGGCGGCGGTCGGAGGCGGAGGAGGAGGAGGGCGAGTGCGGGCGCGGCAGCCCCACGGCCTTCCTCACGCGGTCCTCGTCCTGAAACCACTCGTCGTTCACCTGACTCACGCTCCTGGGGGGGGCACGTGCAGGAAAAGCAGAAGCGGGTCAAGAGACAGGGTGACTAATACGAAGTGATTGACATGACCAGGTTCTGACGTTTCAGGTAACTGACATTTCAAGTGACTTCCCAATTTGAGTAACTGACAACTCAGGTGACAGATAATCACTAATTTAAGCGACGTACTAAACCGCTTGAAGGGACTGCCAGATTGAGGCGACTGACCAGACCAATCAAGTGAGTGACCATTTCAATCAAGTGAGTGACTCACCATTCTAAGCGACTGACCATTTGAAGTGGCGGAGCAGGATGGCGGCGTCGTCGAGCGGGATGGAGAGCACCGTCGCCACGTCGCCAGTCGCCTCCTGCTGCCGCTGCAGAATGTCCTTCTCCGACAGAATCTTGTACCGCACCTGCTCCGTGTATTGCAGAGTCCATTTCGCATATGATGGGAAATAGGAAGAAGGGGCACAACGGGCTGCTGTTTTTGAGTCGACACACAGCCTCCTGCTGCCGCTGCAGAATGTCCTTCTCCGATAGAATCTTGTACCGCACCTGCTCCGTGTATTACACAGTTATTGAAATCGCATACAAAGAAGCATTGAAAGAAAGAAAGAAAGAAACCAAAAGAGGTTCTGTCGTTCTCAGATGCTTCTGCAAGGTTGTGGTTGGGAGCGAGTAGGGACGTCGGAAATGATAACCACGACGGACTAATTCCCGAATAACGAGCACCACGAGGCGCTACAAAGCACCTCCACGCCTGGCCACCGGAATCGGAATTCGCCCATTGAAGCAACCTAACTTAACCCTAGCTGCACCTGTCTGGGTCGCAGCACGGGATCGTCGTCGTCGACGTCGTGATGAGTCGACTCAAAAGTCTCCTAAATTGTCCCTAGCCGCACCTGCCTGAGTCGCAGCCTTAGCCCCACCTGTCTAGGTCGCAGCGCGGGATCGTCGTCGTCAACGTCCGGATCGTCGAAGCCATAGTCCTCGTCGTCGTCCGAGTCGTCCACCTGCTCCTCCTCCTCCGAGTCCTGGTAGTAGTCCTCCTCGCTGTCCGACATTCTGATTAGCCGGAGAGCGAAACGAAAACAAAATATAGATATGAAACGCCGCTTCTTATTACAAATCCCCGAACGAGGATACTGCGGATACAGGCAGGCGGTCGGCTGTGAAACTGCAGATACGCCTGAAATAAATGCTAAACGAAGTGAAAGGAAAAAATCGGACGCTTATTAAAGGTTACCGCCTCTTAAGCTCTGTGGTACTCCGAGTATGTCAAGCGTCAGATTTCTAAGCCTTATTCCGTCGCAGTCACTAATATCGTTGGCGAAATCTGGCGCTGGTTCACTCCTAGCAACTAGGTCTGCGGTCGAGACTCGAGAGTCCCGCAGAATTGTCAAATCACACTGGGCTCGTCGCAACTAGGTCAGACAAATACTGGTGACAGACGGCCATACAAGGACAGTGAGGAAGGGACGGACTGAATCCAACCCAAGCCCCTTTCTCTGGTGCACTCTACTGTAGCGCAGCTCAAGACTCGTGGGCTATATCGGAGCACACAACAAGAGGCTATCTCTGACTCGCACAGGTTCGGCCATTCGCGCTGCATCCCTTCCTTTCCCCTTGCCTAGACGATCTCTAGGTTCACGTAACACGTTACATGTGGCGTGTGATTGCGGGCGACGCTTAAGTGCCGTACAAGCGACGGCTGGCGAAACCCTAGGGGAAAAGATCAACGAGGGGCCGAACAGTGCCAGAGGGGTGATCGACCAGGGGCCGAGAGGCCCGGAACTTCCCAAACCGCTGCGCATAGAGGGATTAACATAGGGGCTTCCTTTATTGCACGTAGTTATGTTATTAGTGGCATGTACCGGCTCGCATTTTCGCTCGCGTGTCGTTTAGCGAGCCGACTCTACTGGAAACTCTTAGGGCAGCCAAAAAAAACCACAACTCTTAGGGAACCTGGATGCATTTTCGGGATGGGTCAACCCTAAAACGGATAACTTCCTGGTATTTAGGGTTGATGCCTCCCGAGTCGCATCTGTTTCCGAATGGGTAATATATTTTTTTCCAGTACGTCTACGATCGGGTAGGTGATATTTATCACCCAGAATATAATATGTTATACGTACTCACGATTTGATCCGCTGAACTTTACTTCCAGAAGAAGGCGACGCGCGCGCTGTAGTAGACGGAGGTCAAAACCCTCAATAAAAAAACATGAATACACAATTTGGTTCTTCTAGCAAATGTCGTTTACTTCCGGTTCGGCTTGTTCGCCAAGTCGGTTGGGCAGCTCTGGGCTGAAATCCTACGGTCGAGATTTACCGGCCCTACTTTGAACACTCCTCTGGCAATGTTCGGCCCCTGGTTGATCTTTTCCCAAACCCTAGACCTTCGTGCATGCGTCGTACCCGCTTCTGCAACTTTGACTTTGAAGAAGGGGGTGAAGTTCAACGGATATTCTTCGATACTTCCGTAAGCTACACTCCAACTGCATTCATTGTGTGAACTACATCCCAACGAGATTTATGCAAAATTGCAATAATGCCAATCGGAGCCCAAATCGTGAAGTCTTCAAAGCAAAGGGGATGGACGATGCTGACCTAAGTATGAGCTGAACAGTTATTGTTTTGCTTTTGGACGTTCCACATGGACTGGCTGGCGTATCCACGTTGAGAAATCAACCTCCGTCCACGCCAATTTTTCACCAACTCCCTTCACTCTCTAGTTCCCCCAGAGCATCACCTATATCGTAGCACCACCAGCCACCTTTCCACCTGTTGGCTGCGTATGGTACTTTCGTATCCTAGCAGCCCTTTTTCTGATCAACTCACGCTCCTCCTTTTCCATCTCCTCCTTCCTCCGCCACTCATCCCTCACCTCCTCCACGCTCCTATACGGCTCCTCCACATAGTCCGGCCGGAACCGCTTGTCGCTGTGGCCCTGGTTCCCCTTGAGCACATTCGTCCTCACAACCCCAATGTGCTGGAAGAGCGACGGGATGTGCACATACGCCCTCGGACGACGCCCTTCACCAGCACCACCACCCTCATTATCACCCAAGCCACCACCTTTACCACCGCCTCCACTCCCATCACCACCGTCCTCCCGGACAGCACCAGAGAGGAGGTACTCATGGATGAGGAGGTCGAGGGGCGCGCGCATGAGCCCCGCCTCCACGTGCGCCAGCAGCCCACCCACCGTGGACGCGTTCAGCAGCAGCGCCTGGGCGCAGCAAGGGACTGGGTACTCCGCCCCGTGGGCCAGCTTCCACCCATACGTCTGTGGGTAGTACAACGACAGCACGTCCCAGACAGGGTATCTCGAGTGCGAGCCACGGCCCTTGTTGCCACTCTCAACCGCTCCCAACCTCCCGTTCTTGCTCTCCTGCGCCTTCTCCTCCTCCCTCTCCTGCTCCCTCCCCTGTCCCCCCTCCTGCGTCCCGTCCCTTCCCCTCTTCCTCTCTCTCCCCTCTTCCTCTGCTCTCTCCCGTGCGCCCACCACTCGTGGCAGGTCCACGGCAACGAACCGCTCCAACCCCACGTCCCACTGCCACGCTGGCACCACGTCATCCTGCAGCAGCAGCACCATGCGCGCGCCCGTGTGCGCGCACTGCCTTACCACGTGCACCGTGTCCATCGCCAGCTTCACATGCCACCGCCACCGCTCCCACCCCTCGCTCTCCACCACTCCCGCCGACACTTTGTTAAGTAGCAGAAGTGGGTCGTCTAGGAGGGCGCAGATGGCCGGGTGTGCGGGTAGGATGTCGATGGGGAGGGCGAGGGCAGCGGAAGTGGCGCGGATGGCGGCGGTCTGGGGGTCAGCGAGCGGGTTGAGGCGCGCGGCGGTGGCGAGTGTGGCGACGAGGGCGCGCGTGGAGGCGAGGGAGACGTTGGTGGCACGGGTGAGGCGGTGAGCAGCGAGATCGTAGGAGGCTGGGATGTGGAAGCGAGGAGGGGAGGAGGTGGTGGTGGAGGAGGAAGAAGATGCACCTTTCTCTTCCCCTGCACGTTTGTTCCGCTCGACCCCACTCACAGACCCGCTATCGTGTCCACCCTTCTCTTTCTTCCCCTCCTCTCCCTCCGCCACCTGTTCCGCCATCTTCCGCACATCCCGCACGTGGCATCCCCCGCTGTACACCACAACGCGCATGGCCCGGTCGAACAGCCCCGCGCCCCTCTCCGCGAATGCGCGCCAATTCTTCGGCCCGCGCGGCCGCGCCCCCGCGCGCCTGGCGTCGAGCGCCTTGAGCAGGTTCGTGACGGTGAACCACGGCGCGCGGATCATCCGCGGATCCGGGCGCGGGGAAGACGCGATCGCAATACACAACCCGCTTTTGCGCCCGCCGCCAATGCGTCGTCGGCGGCGGCGGCGGCGGTGCTTGCGCGCGCGATTTTGCTCCCTGCCGAGGCTGGCTGTGTTGGTGTCATTTTGAGGATTTGCCGCAGATTGCGGGAAGTGCGGGTCGGCAGAACGCGGATAAACGGTGGGCGGGACGCGAGGGGCGAAAAAATCGGCGGGTAAGAGGCTCCGGAGATGGAGGGGATGATAATGGGCGGAATGCGGTTGGAGGGAAGAGGAGGAGCTGCTGAACTCGTCGCTGCCTGGCTGGATGCTGCTCGATTTCACAGATGTAGAATCTACAGACCTCGGTGCAGTATCGGTTGAGAGACGTGACTTTAACGGGAGCTCTTGTGCTCGTGTCGACACTTCACTCGAAATGCGGCGCCGAGCAAAAATCACTAATCCCACCAGAGCCGAAACGAAGAGAAAAACGAGGAGGTTCAGCGCTGTGGCGGAGCGACGCGCCGCGAGCGGGCCGCGAGGCTTTGTTGAAAACACTATCTTCGACTGAGCGCGTGGACGAGGCATCGACGTCTTTGGTTGTCGTTCGAATATTTAGGAGCTCCTCAGTGGGTAGGCAGCACGTGCCGCCTGGCGCGCTCAGTTCTGACAACCAAGGCTCAGCAACAAATGGCTTTGAACAGAATGATTCGTTACTACATTGAAGTTCAAGATAAATACCGCGCAGCTTCAAACAAAACAGGTACGAGATATTGAGTTGAATTGAAAGGTTGACTCCTCGGCAGGGCATGAGCGAATCCCAAAAGCGTCATCGCAGTTTCCCCCCTCAGCAAACACTTGGACCTACACCCACCCCACCTCAGCCATTCTCCTCCCGCCACAACCCTAATTCTTCCCCGCTCCGCCCACTTTCTTTCCGCTTCAATCCACAACATCCGCTTGCATCAATTCTTCCCCTCGCCCACTTTTCTCCCGGCACTCTCCGCTCCCCTCCCTCCCCAACCTCACCCCACCTCGGCTCGCCTTGCCTCCCACCACAAGCTCTCCTCACTTCACCTCTCCCTCGCAGCTGCCCGGTCTTCCCACCTTGCCTGCCACTACACCTGCTGGGACCGGCCCATCAAGTTTCTCCCTTCACCGCTTCCGTTCCTTTTCTCCTCCTCCCTCTCCTCCTCCTTGTTGAACAGACCCTCCTTGTAACCATGGTGAAGTACCGGGTGCGTATTCCAATAGTACCTTTTAGTACGCGTCGCCTAATCCGTCGTCGTTACGATGTACCTTGCTGACCGCATCGGATTCAGCTCCCAACGGTTGTAGCTGCCTCCTGTTAGCGCCGGCAATTTTCCTTCGTTTAACAATTGTTTCTAAGTTTAGGTGTTCCTCCCTCGTCCTGCTCTCGGGATGCTGAAGCGCGCACCGTTTCGGAAATCTTGAGGCACCTGCTTGCCTTACGCGCCGTTTTGCGCGATACGGTGTTACGAACCTCCAGAGGAGCCACACCATCCGTTAGATTCCGTTTCGCCTCATTCCTCCCCTACGCTCTCTTAGCGCTCCACCGGCACCACGTCGCCGTCTTATTCGTCATGACAACCCTCCTTCGCCACGCCGCCCCATCTTCTCCCCTCCTCTCCCCCCCGTTCCCCCTCTCCTCCCCCCTTCCCCCCTTTTCCCGTCCCCAACCCCTCTTCCCCCCGGTTCGTCCTCCCCCCTCCCCCCTTGCCGCGCCGTGCGGTGCGTGCAGTTCCACCAGTACCATGTGGTGGGGCGCATGAACCCGAGCCCCAACGACCCCACGCCCAAGATCTACCGCATGAAGCTGTGGGCCATCGACCAAGTGCGCGCCAAGAGCAAGTTCTGGTGAGTGGTCTACGCGGGCAAGCGCGATACGAGGTGCTGAGACGGAGACGGAGTCCAGTGGCGCTGGTGGGGTGCGCACAGTGTTGATGCAGTCGAGACGCTCGTCGCAGCTGTTGGTTGGCGGATGGATTGGCGTGGCGCGCTAGGACTGCCTGGGATCGGCGTGCGAGCTGGCGTGTAGACTAGAACATGAAGTGTCGATCGGAGAAGGGGGGAGGAGGCTGAGATGGCTGTTTGGTTGCCGTTGTGGAGCATGGGGGCTGGGGGAGCTTGACTTGTGAGAGGAATCCTAGCGAGCTGGGAGCTCGGAGGCTGGATGCGCAGAGTGGGTTGGTCGAGAGCAGCTTCGCGCACGGAAGTTAGGGCTATGTCGTACCGTGTCGCAGTAATGTTCGTGGGACGCCATGGTTTCTCGTTAGCCTAGCGCCGATCCATCTCTGTAGCCACCCCGCCGTAGATGAGACGTTTTATTTCGATCAGCTTGCTCCGATTCGCGTCGTCCGTGTGGGCCGAGCACCTGCCGCGTTGAGTCCGCGTAGCTCTTGACGTTTCTCGCGGCCAGCCACTGGTTGGACCCTGGCGTAGCCTTTGGCGGAAGCGGTCGATGGCTTATGAAGAATAGATCGTAGCTGGATTTCGATTTGAGACACCTTTGGAACGTCCCAAGCTGCTGAAGTCGCGACATTCCGTTTCATGCACCTTTTATGAAACCTCTTCAGCCGAATAGTTTGCTGATTCGCAAATCAAATTCAGTTATAAGTGTTGGCGTGAGTTTCAGACTGTCGCTCCATCTCCCCTTCCCCCCCTTCTCCCCTCCACTCCCTTGTGTTGTATCCGCAGGTATTTCTTGAGTCAGCTGCGTAGAGTGAAGAAGGCTCACGGTCAAGTCCTAGCTATCAACGAGGTGAGTAGTAAGTTCAAGAGGTAATTTCACGGGTGTTCAATGGGGATTGACGACGCGAGTGTTGGGCTCCATTCAGGTATACCATCTTCTGTAAGGTTGGGTTTCCACATTTCACAAGGGGTATAGTTTGGTCATTGGTTCGGGTATGTGCTTCACATTAGCTCTTCGCGGCCTCTTCTTCCTCGGATTTTCTCCGAATCATTGTACTGGGGAGTGCGTTGTTGCCACGCAAGTCGTTGCCAGCCGTTAGCCGGGTAGGCTGAGAGCGTGAGGCCGGTTGTCGGAGATGTCACACCTTACAGGCATGGAGTGAGTGGAGTCTGCTTTTGAGTTGTTTCTTACCGCGCGGGTTTTGTCTGACAACTGCTGTTGTTGCGCAGCAGTGTGGAGATAGAACCGCGACAGTTTCTATTTGAGCGTTCAGGGTTTAACGACCCTGGCTTTCAGGAACAGCCTGTGTGAGACGGACCAACGGCGTCGTAGCCGTTAACGATAGGGGCTGTGGCCGAGTGGGAGTGAGAGTGTCTTGGGGATGACGAACCATTCAAGATGACGAGTCGGAGCCGTCAGGCCGTGAAGACCAACACGAGGCATTTGTCTGAAAGATTCTCCCCCGACCAATTGGAGCCCTTAATCGATCCTCGTCACTGTGAAATTAGATAAGCGTCAGAGCAAGATTTTAGGATTGCCGTCGATCCGAAACCGATGTAGAAGGTAAACGAGAGATGAGCCGTAGCCGCTGCGTTACATTGTCGCTGATCTACGGCGACTGACTGTAGGAGGGCGTTTTTATGACGAATATTAGCAAATGACGGGTCGTAGCCGAATAGTGGGACGAGAAACGTGAGGCATTTGCCAGGAAGACGCTCGCTCCAGCTTTATCGATCTCCTTACCCATGTGTGCAGCAAGTCGTTCGTACTTACTCCGTTTTATCCCGAGTTTAGCTAACGTATACCGTGTTTGGACTGGTGTCTTGATGATGACGACACGATTAAGATGACGAGTCGTAGCTCGCGAGCAGAGACGACAAACACGAGGCATTTGTCTGAGAGATACCCGGTCCAGTTTTATTGATATCCCTTGTCCTCATTCCGCCACCTTCGTACTCATCTACCCCTTTTTTTTCAAGGTACGTTACTGAACCTTCGATGTCTTGATGATGACAAAAACTTATTAAGATGACGAGTCGTAGCCTGCAGGCACTGACGACAAACACGAGGCATTTGTCTGAATGACATCGGATCTGATTCTGAGGAATTATGGTTCTAGTCCTTCCCCTACCCTCCTTTTCGCATGCTTCTTCCCAGTCTACGAGGTACTGTCCGAGTACTTGGTCAGGTATCGCAGCAATGCACCATGTGCACGAGTCGAGTCGAGTCGAGTGGATGTCTTGGTGATGACGACACTAACAAGATGACGAGTCGTAGCCGATTGGCTCTGACGACAAACACGAGGCATTTGGCTGAAAGGCACCGACTCCGTATCTCGTTTTCCCTTTTCTTGTTCTCAGTTCGCTCATTGGCTTAGATCATCTGGTTGTTTCTCCATCCTGCTATTCCCAAGCACCAGTAGTTGGAACAGCAAGAGTTCACGGCTTTCTTGATGATGTCAAAAACTTTTAAGATGACGAGTCGTAGCCGATAGGCTCTGACGACACAACGAGGCATTTGTCTGAAAGATATCCGGTCTTGTTCTCGTTCTGATCATGCATTGATGATCCCTGACCCTCATCATCATTCAATCTATCAAGGTATGGTATCAAGCGCTCTCATGGTACTGTGCCAGGAGCTTTACTGTCTTGATGATGTCAAACACTTTAAGATGACGAGTCGTAGCCACCAGGCTCTGACGACACAACGAGGCATTTGTCTGAAAGATATCCGGTCGAGTTTTCGTTCTGCTCGTTGATTGTTTCCCTGTGATCCTCACCTTCATTTCACCAAGGTATTGTGTGGACTGCTGTTTCGGGGTACTGTGCCAGGAGCTTCATTGTCTTGATGATGTCAAACACTTTTAAGATGACGAGTCGTAGCCGACTGGCTCTGACGACACAACGAGGCATTTGTCTGAAAGAATCCTGCTCCAGTTTTCTCAGTATCATTTTTTTCTCTATCTGTTTTCCATGTTGGATCATCACCCTTATCCTCCTAGTTCAACACAAGGCTGATTTAGACCCTCTGGGTGCCACGTTACGTTGTGTGTCCTGAGGATGACGAAACT